GAAGTAAAAAATATTACGTGGTAGTTTTACAGCGATTTGGAGATGGTTTATTACTGGGGTACCCTTCAAAATTTAACTTATTTACGGTCATTGCCATCAATCGTTTTTGGGCCAAAAAACCAATCGATTCTTGCGATCCATGATGGGCTTTATTTCACTTTGTTTGTTTCATTTATTTTTTTGCCCAAATCATTTTTAAAGAAATCCTAGAAATTTGTTATATCTATTATCTATATATACACCTTATGTGCTCATTAAATTGTAATAGGTTATGTGTCCCTCTCTCTCCTATACTAAATTATAATATGTTTCCCTTAGATTATGGTCTTTCATGTGTATGGTTTAATCTTCTATATTACTCTTTGATTATGGTTTTTCATGTGTTTAATCTTACTCATGATTTCTATGGTTCCCTTCAATTATGATTTTTCATGTGTATGGTTGAATCTTATATGCTTCTCTTCGTTTTATGGCTTTCCATGTATTTAATCTTACTCATGGTTTTATATTTCCTATTATTGATTATTTTTCTTCACAGATTATCTTCTCGAAAGGATTCGTGATGATATCCGGTATATTCATAAAACATCTTCGTTTATATATGTCTTTGTTTTATATCCTTTACTTTAAATTCTAATCGTCTTACGTTCCAAATTTATGTTACGTTCCAAACTTATGTAGTCTACTATCCAAGGCATTATGGACTTGTGCATGTTATTTATGTTTTAAAAAAACCCAGAAATTATTGTAAACCCTAAGTAAGATACAGTTAGTTTATGAAGTTTATGAGATTTTCTTTGTGCGGCTCTTGAACTTGCATATAGATGTATATGACTATTTGGGGATTGGAGCTATCGATTCTAACAGTGATATGTCATGGTGTACGAGTTTTGGCTTCATCATTGTCTAGGTATTAGACCTATATTGTTTTCTTAGCTTGAAACCTATCGCATGTTTGTTCTTCTTTAATCAAAATGAGATGGATCGAAATCTAAATGTATGAATTGATTGAGTTTGTGTCTTTGAAGCACGACTTTACTTTGTAGGTACGAGTTACGAATTGGATTGTTGGTGAACCTTTTGATTCCACTCCTCAAGAAGGATCTCCAGTAAAAAAAAAAGACTAACTAACTAATTATACGTTGATTGATCTTGAGTATATTACACGGTTGATTGTTCGGGTTTCTTCAGGTTGAGTATATAGATATCCTCTCTTTTGTTGATTAAATAAAGACAATGGTTTCAGCTTTAGACTATAAGAGGGGCATCTAGAAGAGGTTAGAGCATAGAAAATCTAACAATAGACTTATTATGATCTAAGGGATACATCGTAAGTTGTAATATGTCATTAAAATAATGTACTCTCTCTGGATTGTTTTAAACATAATTTTTGTGCTATATAATGTGTTTCGTAAGTATTTGAATGTTATTCAATGACTTCAACTTTGAATGTTAGAAAACCTTATGAAGAAAACGATGCATTGTGAATATGTTTGAGAATAGCTTTCAAAGAAATATTGAGAATGATTTAGTAGTGATTTTTTATGGATTTTTTATTTTACAAAATAACAATCTGCGTATGTTTTTGATTTTAGCAATGGTATCCATTTTCAAAGAAATTAGAACGGAAAGTGGCTTCGGAATTGGCGGATAAGCATGGAGCCAATTTTTTTTTTCATGTCTCAGACCACTTTTTGAATCGAACATAAATGTAAGTTGCCCCGTTTTGTTACTGCTCTTTCAAGTCTCGATCGAGACACATTAGCCTCACTGGCTGGGTGTAGTGTATGTGATAAACTATTGAAGATCATGCTCTTGCTGCTCTTGTGTCCAAACTCTTCCCTCGGTTTGTTGTTCACAAGTTTGATGGAGAAACTCAACTCGAGCTTCTGCCATGTGATGATGCGACAAAGAGATTGATTGAACCCCGAATTCCATCTTAGAGACAAGCCTTTCTCTGAATGTATACGATAATTTTACGAACTCCGAATTCCAAGACCTTTATTTTCTAATACAAGTAGAGGAACTATAAAGTAAACTGTTTTTATATGATACATCTATCTATATATGAGTTCCAAGGTATTATTATCATCATTGTTCGTGATGTGTGAGATTTTATTGACCTGAGAGTACCTTACGGTTCACATAATCAAGTGGTGGAAGAAGGAACATCCGATTATTTTTGGGTCTGCATTTTGAAACACAGGATGATCGATTCTGAAAAATTAGTGGACGAGATTGAAGCCACCGGTAGAATATTATCCCTAGAGGAATCATTTGAACAAAATGACGGACGGATCATTATTAATATACATAGCTATACTCAATCAAGTTCTAATTTTCCAAAACTTTGTTAATTTACTGTTTCACTATATTTCTTTTTGTTTTCTCTATATATATTTTGAGAATATTGTATAATCGTGACACATATACATGTTTCATATATATTATAACCTTTTTAGTATAGTATCTTAAAATAAAATTAGCTACTATCTTAAATCTTATAATAACTATACTTAATTTTAATTCAATCAACTTTTTTTTTAACTTTTGTCTTTGATGTGTTGAATGAATTCAAATAATTTAAATAGTTCTCGATTAGGTTTGGTGTTTGTAATGTGATATAAAAACATAGTAAGAGTTAAGAGGAGACTGTCAGTGACCCGGAAAAAAACACACGAAAGTCTTTACCGACTCTAAAACAAGAACAAGAGGGGATGGAGGAAGAGAGGCCACCACAATAGCTCTGACAAAAAAAATCTCTTGACACAATAATAGATCTAGATAAAGCAGTACCAGAAGACCCAGTCCCAAACAAAACCAACTATAGAGCTCCATCGAAATCGAAAGAAGAGATAACCGAAGCTTCTACTATAGCCTTACCATGTAGCAAAGAAACCAAGACCTCATGTTATAGTTTTGGGCTCTATTGTTTTCCTTTGCAATGTGAAAAAATATTGTTCATTGGGATGTTAACCCACTCAACTTCCTTTTCTCTAGGGAGACCAAAAAGACTATCTCATTGATTTAACCTCCCTAAGATTAGCAATTTTTGTGGTATTTTATCTCTCAACAATAAA